CGCGAGGCGTCCCGCGGTGGAATTTTAATGTGCAACAAGACAAAAGGGAGTCGATCGCAGGAAACTACTCTGTGTTTACGTTCCGCGGGGCCGGAAATGGCGTGCACGTGCAACCGTGTTTTTAGTGGAATCTCGTTCGGCTAGCGAACACGATCGACTAATAATAGATGCGATAATATTTGCCAGCGTGTTCGGAGCTGTTCGCGCTAACGGGGCGATCGGCCGCGGCGTTGCACGTTCGGCGGGATTATTTTCAGTGCGACGTCGAATGGCACTCAATTGGCTATTCGACTTCGAATATTTCAGACGCGGGAGTAGATTGGGAGATAACATTGATCGCGAGTCTCGTCGGATTGATTTTCTGGGGCTACGACCCTGTTCGACGAAAGATATTATCTTTCGCCGTGCGAATAAATGAACGGTCCGATTTTATAAAAATTCTAATAGAGGATTAAGTAGAGTGTGAATTTCAAATGAAGATTATTTTAAACGTGTATAAGATGCGGAGATTGAAAATTAGATTTGATTAATTTCATTCTGAAATTCATATTTAAGGATGTACATTACGAATAGATTGTAGCGTTATTAAACAGAAATGAAGTTTCTAATGTTACGAGAATACCTCGTTCCTTTCAATTGAGAAATTAGATGTATGTGATCCTTAATTAACGTTTTTGTAGGTTCGATTAATTGTGTTCCATGTGGATGGAGACATAAGTTAATTCCATACAACTTCCTCCGAGGAGAACATTGCAAATAACGTGCACAGCATAATTGCAGAAGACAATTATTTTCGTAGAAGCTTCCTGCAGGAGGACAATAACTTCTCCGCGCGGATCTTGCCTATGAGGGAACCTACCATTTTCGTAATTAAAGTCCCCGTAAAAACACTCATTTCACCTGTGCTTCCGTGTGTTTTCTAAAATCAGCACGAGAAGAAAAGTATCGTTGCGTACGGTTCGTGATCACTACCATTAAATTACGGCACAGTATCAGCGGGATCGTATTTGTTTCAAGGTTCAAAGCAAAGATACGATTGTTCTGAATCATTCTGTGTATTTTTTCCTTGCTTTTTTCTTCCGAAATCAATCCGATGGATCGCGTTACCGGCCGAACGCCATGAATTATTCAGGTTCTTGTGTACCGGCGGCGATCCGGTCGCTTTCGCTACAATCCATCGCAATTTCGCTTCGTACCGATTATGCCGCTAAAGGGACGGTTCGGTATTCGTCCCGCGATTATACAACATCGTCACGCCACTGCGGTTCCCCACGGAGTCGCTTTACCATGTTCACTGCCACGAGAATTTTGAGCGTTTTGTACAACATTAGTTACTGTTTCATTAGTAAACACAAATGATATAAGGATTAATTGCTAGGTGCAGTAAAAAGTTCTTTTCGAGAAGCTAAACGAATTCGGTTCATCGAAGTTACTGAATTCTATCGCGATGGTATTCGTAGACTTTCAGGAAAGTGAAAACAGCATAAATAACAACCGTGAATGCTTTGACGATTGAGAATTTTCATTTCGAAAAATTGGAAAGAACGTTCTGCTGCGCCGAATATTAAGTTTGCCATCGCAATTGTCAAGTTGTAATATTATCTAACTAATTACATTTAGTCATTTATATCTAATTATTACTAAATATTTTTATTCGACATTATTTCTCTTGTTTCCAGGGATTTGGAAGCTCCAGTCATCGGCGTCCACCATGACAGTCGACGCGACAACATGGCGGCTAGCAATGTCTGCGTGATTCTTACGGTTCTCGCGTAATTCTTACGGTTCCCGTGTAAAATCAGTATAATCTCGTTAGAATTTCTGTTAATAACGGCCCGCCCCGGGCTGACTATCGATACGCTGCCAAGTCACGAGAATGATAGATTAATTATTCCGTGACGGTCTGAGTCAGCGCTTACGCGAGAACCGGAAGATCGTCTGTTCCCGGTCTTTGTTAAAAGGCAGAAACATTAAAGAAACATCGAATGATTGACTGGATCTAATCGAACCATATCTCGCTCATTACTCAAATAAAATCGAAACAAACTATCAAATAAATAAGCGTCGCTTCAACGAAAACTTAACAATTACTCTCCTATCATTCAACTGAACATATAAACTTCTACATCTCAACGCACTGTCGTTCCATTCAACGAACTATATAAAATAAAAATCTAATCAATACAAACATATTCACCGTACATTTTATCAAACCCAATCGAAAAGCCTTACAGTCGGAATGCCTCTCAACGAGGACGTTAGAATAAACGAAACACGTGTTCGTATGCGTTACGCAAAATATCGCGATCGTTAATTAACAGAGCCCAATTGCGTGAAAGACGGACACGGTCTAACCGCTTCGCTGGTTCCAACGTTTTTCCCCTCTCTTTCTTCCCCCCTTTCCCGGCCCTATCGTT